ATCACCTGCCGCTCACTTCCTGCTGTGCAGCCTGGTTCCTAACAGGCCACTGGCCAGTACCACTCCATGGCTCGGGTTTGGGGACCCCTGATTTAGACAGCCATCTTAGTTTTGACTGGTTTCAGCTAGTCTTGACAAGTTCTTAACTGCTGACTGGGGCCTCCATTTCTGAGATAGACAATTGGAGCGGAGGAGAGGTTCCCAGGCCTCATAGCTCTCCAGGGGGAGGGAGGGGCCCAGTGGGCCTGTCACGGGGTAACAAATAGGATTTATTAGAGGAGATAAAGGAATTTCAATCCAGAACATGCAGCCGTGGCAAGCAACGTGCGAGTCGGCCAGCACAAAGAGGAAGTTGTTTTACAGAAAGGAAGAGGAATTTAGGGTTGTCCTAACCAGAGTTCTTCCTGTTGGGCTTTTCAGCTGACGTGGGCGTGAGAGCCCCTCCACAAGGCCGCTCATCCTCATCTTGGTTGAGGTCTTCTTCATTTAATTTCTTCTACACTAAGGAGAGAGGCCTCGGAACAAACGATCCTGCTGACACATTCGTCTTGGACATTTAGCCTCCACACTGTGAGAAAAGAAATTTTGGTGGTTTAAGCTACCGGTCTGTGGTACTTTGTCACAGCAGCTCTTGCAAACTAATACAGTGGACTATTCATACAGTGGAGATATTACTCGGCCATAAAAAGGAATGAAGTAGTGACACATGCTGTAACTGGGATGAACCTTGAGAAACATGCTAAGTGAAAAAAAGTCTTAAAAGACAACACATTATATGATCTCATTCATACAAAACTCCAGAATAAAGAAATCTATAGAGGTGGAAAGTAGGTTAATGGTTGCTTATGGCTTTGAGGGCTATGAAGAAGTTGTTGTTTTATTATTGAGTTGTGGTTACGTATAAAATCGCCATAAACATTCTTGAACAAGTTTCTGTCGGTACATATTTTTAATTCTTTTGCACAAATACCCGAGGCCATAGGTTTAATTTTATTAGAACATACCAAATAGTTTTTCGTAATAGTCGTGCCATCTCGTAAGTATATAATGTGGTATATGAAAGCTCCCGTTGCTCCACATCGTTAATATTTGATGTTGCCAGTCTTTTAAATGTTAACCATTCAAGTAGATATGTTGTAGTTGCTTACTGTGACTTAAATTTGCATTCTTAATGGATTATCATAATATAGTCTTTATAAAACTCGTCCCAGTTTATAGACCCTTGCTAGAGGCTGGTCAGTTCTTTTGAGCAGCTGGTTAAGTCCACACCCCTAACCACCTCCCTTATTGGGCTCTCACACTCCAGGCCACTATCCACCTACCCTAACGGGCAAGGTACCGTACAACTAGGTGCGTCCCCTATTCCTTAAAGCCTACCAAAATTATTCAAAGTAGCTATTCTATGCCGCTTACCTTGCCTCATCCATTCCTTCCCGCAGAAACCACGATAAAGGTTCTTGGCCAAAGATCTGCTTCGTTCTCCCCTGGGAACTGTGAGTATAGTAAACTGTAAAAACTTGGCAGTTTCTCTTGATCTGCATCACCAAAGCTCATCTCAAGGTACTATGGTTAAAATGCTCATGCTGTGGACTTTTTTTTGTCTTGTTGGCCATTTGTGTATCTTTTTGTGAAGTATCTGTTCGCCACTTTTGCCCATTCTTTTGTTTTTAATTTTCATCCTATTAAGTTGTATGAGTTCTTTACCTATGCTGGATAGAAGTCCTTTTTTTTGTATATATGTATTGCAACTATTTTTCTAGTCTGTGACTTCATTTTTATTATCTTCGTAGCATCTTTTAACGAGTTTTGTTCTATCGAGGTTCAATTTTTTGAAGGTTAGAGCTTTCTTCTACTCGAAGGATGTGAAGAGATTCTCTTATTTTTTATTCTAGAAGCTTTATAGTTTATATCCACGAGCCACCTAAATTTAATTTTTGTGTATGACGTGAGGTATAGGTTGAATTTAATTTTCCCCTCCCCATGTTTATTCAGTTGTTCCAGAATTTGTTTAAAGAATTTTCCTTTCCCTCATTGAACTGCCTTTGAATTAAAAAAAAAAAAATCAAATGACTATAAAAGTGTAAGTCTATTTCTTGGTTCTCTATTATGTTCTATTTATCTATTTGTTTATCATTGTACCAATACCACAGTTTCCATGACCCTAGCTGCACAGAAAATCCTGAGTTTGGTAGTGTAAATCCCCCAGCTTTGTTCTTTTAAAATATTGTCTAAGCTATTCTAAGTCCTTTGCATTTCCACATGTTTTACAATCAACTTAGCAATTTTCTACAAATGCCTGTTGTGATTTTTATTAGATTCCATTGACTGTATAGGTTGATTTGGGGAGAAGGGACTTCTAAACACTACTGGGTCTTCTCGTTCATGATAATGGCGTATCTTTCTACTTATTTAGGTATTCTCTAGCTTCTCACAACAAACACTGTGTCATTTTCAGGTAGTGATCTGGCATGCGTTTTGCTAAATTTATTCCTGGGTATTTTATGTTCTTTATACATATAACTGTTTTCTTTAGAATTTCATTTTGTTTGCTGTGACATAAAAATTCAATTTGAGGGAGTATATTGTCCTTGAAACTATAAATCCTTCCCACAAAGAAAACTCCAGGCTCCGATAGTTTCAATGGAAATTTGACTCAAGATTTAAAAAATATAAATTTTATAATATCTCTATCAGAAACTAGAGAAAGAAACACTTCCCATCTTATTTTATGTCAACACTAATACAAAAACCTGAGAGAGATATCATAAGAAAAAAATTACAGATCAATATCAATAATAAACATATACACAAAAATCTCCAAAAATAATTAGCAAATAAAACTCAGCAATATACATATACAGGATAATAACATCGTGACCAAGTAAGACATAACCCAGGCATGCCAGGCTGGTATAACATTCTGAAATGAAAGTTAATTCACACATTAAAGGAGAGAAGCCAAAAGATCATGTCAATAGTTGCTTTTTATGTAGTCGACAAAATTCAACACCAGCCCTCTCAATATGATATTTGTGGAAAATGAGCAGCTAACATAACACTTTATGATAAAATACTGACTGTCTTTACCCTAAGGTCAGAAACAAGGTCTGCTCTAAGTGCTCGTATGCGACACTGTCCTCGCCTGTGCAATAAGGCAAAGAAATAAAAATTTAAAAAGGAACTGTCTTTGTAGATGTCTTGATTGTGTTTACAGAAATCTCTATAAAAAATAAACTCTCCTAGAACTAATGTTGAAAATTCAAGAAGTTAATAAGTACAAATCAATATACCAATAAATTCGAGGAGAAAAATATGATTATACCAACAGGTAACAAAATGACTTTGGACAAAATTCACGTCCCTACCAAACAAAGCAGGGATCCCCTGGTCCACTACATATATTGCAGGAAATTATTTAAAGGCAACAAAGAGAATCTTCGAATAAAGAGTGAATATCATAGTAAATGATTAAATGTTATAAAATTTTCCATTGAATTTTGAGAAATCGATGCCTGTATTACCATAATATTCAACTTTGTTTTGAAGAGCCTAGCTATTGCAATAAGAAGCAATAAATTAAATATTGGAAAATAAATAAAACTTTATTTCTAGGTTAGACAATGTATAACCTAGAAATCTGTCTCATAAAAATAAAGCTAGTGTTCAGGAGATAGATAACCAGCGCTATATTTAATGTTGCATTGATATAGCCAATGAAGTATGCAGAATGACATTCAAGTCAATTAGAAAAAAAAAGAACAAAAATAATGGAGAAAGTCAAGAAAAGTCAAAGTAAACAAATGATGATTGGTTGAGAAACATTTTTGAAAAGATGCTCAACTGAAATTGAAATATATTAAAATATCTAGAGTGAGGCTATAGGAATACTCGATTTGAGTATTGACAGGAATCTACGAGAACAATGTGACTATCTGATAGAACTGGAAGTGTATATGACTGTGGACTGATCTAGTGATACCTGACATTAACTGAAAGAATATACACTGTATGAGCAGTGTTACCTTCACATGTACAGTTAAAAAAATTCCAGCTCACATAAACCAATGATCACAGACGAGGATATTCACTGAAGTATATCTGAGATAATGAAAAACTCTTGAAACCTAAACACTAAACAAAGAGAAGTTTAAATACATTATGGTACATTCATATAAAAAACTGGGCCAAATGGGTTTTTAATTTTGTAAAGTATCAGTCCCACACTCAGAGGGCAAGCAACTGCTTGCAGAGGAAGACGTGAGTGGCAGAAATACCCATGCATGGTTTTCTTCAATGCCGCCAGGCCTCTGCCATGTTATCTGAATAGTCCACCCTTAGGTCACTCTTTTTTAGGGTCACAGCATTTCCAGTGTGGGTTCACATCCCAGAGATATTGGGTATTGTGAATGGGTCTTCCTGGGATAAACAAAGTTATGCAAATTATCTTTAGGACTCTTAAATCTTTTCATAGCCTAATAATAAGCATTTTTTTTTCCCTTAGAAGAGATTGAGTATTCAAAACTTCATAAGCCTGTGTGACTGGAGAACATTTTTCAAGTACTATCAAATACTGTTTTCCCAGAGACATTCTTTCAGATATGTTGGATTAAGGCACTGGTAGCAATCTGTAGTATTAGGGATTATGGAATTATTAGTTTCCTTGGGTGCGAAGTCATACAAATAGGAGGCAGCCTTTATTCTTAGGAATTGCATAATTATGTTCAGACACATGAAATTCATGTCTATAATTTATATTCAAATATTATAGCAAAAAATCTATAAAAAATATATAAGCAAACCAAAGATGACAAAATATTAACAATCACTGAATCTAGAAAGGGCATACCAGGGTTCACAGCACTATTTAAAATTTTTTTTCTAAATGAACATTGGTCTTTTGGTTGTTAGTTTCTAATTTATTATGAATTTGGGGCAGAAAAAGCAGACTGTACCTTGTCTGTTTTTTGGATTATGAAAAGAAAAAGCATCACAGTTCTCCCTGATTCTTCCAAAGCTTTACTTACATAAACTTCACATTCATCGACTCTAGAGATATCTTTCTCACATTAGTTTTCAGAGATTAGCTCTGATTTTAGAAATAAATATTTTACTGAAATTTATCCACAATTATCTCAATTGAAATAACATTCATCGACTCTAGAGATATCTTTCTCACATTAGTTTTCAGAGATTAGCTCTGATTTAGAAATAAATATTTTACTGAAATTTATCCACAATTATCTCAATTGAAATAAGGAGTGAAAAGTAACATAAGGCTTTTACAAATTCCTTACACTCAGGGTTTTCCTCTCACACATATTTACTAATAATATCACTAATGATGAAAATAACAATTATATTTATTGAGCAAATACCCTTCTAAAGGTTTTGTTTCTTTATTTCATCCTCACAAAAGTACTATTAGGTAAATACTATTATCACCATTTTACAACTGAGGCACAGAGAGGACAAGTGTTTTGCCAGATACCACAGGCAGAGGTGGATTCAGAAGTGCGGTGCAGATATGCTGTGGTTCAAGTCTTTTCCCAAGTTCGTCACATCGACAGAAGTACTTTCTGTTACAGTGCTTTACAAAGTGTGGTCCATGTACTGATGCTGGTGCACAGCGTGTTGCTTCTTGTCTGCACTGAGTTAAATTACAGACACCGAGAGCAAGCGTTTAGAAATCTCTACAACGATTTGACAGAACTAATTTGTCCATTATATTCAATCAATAATTAAAAAAAAAATTGGGGCTTTCATTATGTACGTCTGTTTTCCTTTCGGTTTCATTTTTTAAAAATTTTATTGCATTTTATAATTGTTCAACAAAGTCTTTTTTGGGGGCGGCGAGGGAAGCCCTTCACCTGGGGCTGGTGTCAATCTACTAAAGTTTAAGCAAGACTTTTCAACTCTTTATATCAATATATAAAAAACTATTTCTGTTAAGTTTCGAGCATGAAACAAGAGGGATTCCCACACATTGCCTAACAAGTAAGACGATTTTTATGAGTTCTCAGCTGTTTAAAAAATGGCATTTTTCTAAAGGCCATTGTACCCTCCTTACATTATGCATAGCGTTTCCTCACTAATATGATTTCTCTGATGTAAAGTGAGCTGATCACTACGAATAAAGGCTTTCCCACATTCTTTACACTTGTAGGGTTTCTCACCAGTATGAATTCTGTGATGTCGAGTCAGTTCCGAATTAACGCTAAAGGCCTTCCCGCATTCTTTACATTTATAGGGTTTTTCACCGGTATGAAATGTGTGATGTCGAGTAAGTTCTGCCTGAAGTCGGAAGGCTTTCCCACATTCTTTACATCCATAAGGTTTCTCACCAGTATGAAGTCTAAAATGTTGAGTAAGATGATACCGACGACTAAAGGTCTTTCCGCATTCCTTACATTCATACGGAACCTCACCAGTGTGAAGTCTTTGATGTAAGGTAAGCCGATAACTACAGATAAAAGCATTTCCACACTCATTACATATGTAGGGTCTCTCGCCAGTATGGATTCTGTGATGTTGAGTGAGATGATAGTGACGACTAAAGGTCTTCCCACATTCCTTACATTCGTAGGGTTTCTCGCCAGTATGAATTCTGTGATGTTGAGAAAGGTGATTGCTACGAATAAAGGCTTTCCCACATTCCTCACATTTATAGGGTTTTTCTCCAGTATGAACTCTGTGATGTTGAGTAAGTTCTGTTTGAAAGCGAAAGGCCTTTCCGCATTCTTTACATTTATAGGGCTTTTCGCCAGTATGAATTTTATAATGTTGAGTAAGATTGTAGCGACGACTAAAAATCTTCCCACATTCCTTACATTCATAGCTATGCTTGTTGGTGTGAATTCGCTGGTGTGTAACGAGTTGATTTCTACGAATAAAGGCCTTCCCACATTCCTTACATTCATAGGGCTTCTCGCAAGTATGAATTCTGTGATGCCGAGTAAGTTCTGCTTGAAGACGAAAGGCCTTCCCGCATTCTTGACACCCATAGGGTTTCTCACCAGTATGGATTCTCTGATGTTGAGTAAGATGATAGCGACTGCTAAAAGTTTTCCCACATTCCTTACATTCATAGGGAATCTCGCCTGTATGAGCTCTCAGATGTAAAGTAAGTTGATAGCCACAAATAAAGGCTTTTCCACATTCCTTACACTCATAGGGTTTCTCACCGGTGTGAATTCTCTGATGCCGAGTCAGTTCTGTTTGGAGACGAAAGGCTTTCCCACATTCTCTGCACTCATAGGGTTTCTCGCCAGTATGAATTCTCTGATGTCGAGTGAGTTCTGCGTGAAAACTAAAGGACTTACTGCATTCTTTACATTCGTAGGGCTTCTCACCAGTATGAATTTTCTGATGTTGAACAAGGTATGAGCCGTGACTAAAGGCCTTCCCACATTCGTTACATTTATAGGGTTTGACACCAGTATGGATTTTCTGATGTTGACTAATATGTCGTTGAACCCTAAAGGTCTTTCCACAAATCTTACATTCATAAGGCCTCTCACCAGTGTGAATTCTTTGATGTTCTGTAAGCTGATAATGAAGTCTAAAGGCCTTCCCACATTCCTTACAGTCATAGGGTCTCTCCCCAGCATGAATTGTCTGATGTACTCTGAGGTCTCTAACACGACTGAAGGCCTTGCCGCATTCCTTACACCCATAGGGTTTCACACCAGAATGTATTCTCTGATGTTCGGTTAGGTGGTAATGAAGTCTAAAGTTCTTCCCACAGTCGTTACATTCATAGGGTCTCTCCCCAGCATGAATTGTCTGATGTACTCTAAGGTCTCCCACACGACAAAAAGCCTTCCCACATTCCTGACACTCATAGGGTCTCTCGCCAGTATGAATTCTTAGGTGTTGAATAAGTTTTGATTGTTGTCTAAAAGCTTTCCTACATTCCTTACATTCATATGATTTCTCTGTAGCATGAGTTTTCTGATGTAGAGGAAGAGATGTATGTTTTCGAATTATCGTTTCACTAACGGAGCCCATCTGATGTCCTGCTTGTCTCTCAAATTCATGGTTACACTGCAAATCGTGTCTGAAAACTGTGTCTTCGTGGATGAAGGATTTATTCTTTTCTGTCTGCAATTGAGATAAATGTGTTTCACAAATCTCCTTTTCTGGAAATAACTTCTTGGTGACGTACTTCGATTCTGAATCTGAGAAAAAAGCAAAAAGAAAACAAATGCTGTAATGTGATTTTTCTGTGCAAGGAGTGGGATGTGGAGTTGCATTTCATAGTAGAAATAAAAAAATAAACTAAAAATAACATACATAAGAAGTAAAGATTTAGAGTGGGGTCAGCAAACCTTTTCTGTTAAGGGCCAGCTAGTAAAAATTTTTGGCTTCGAGAGTGACGTCAGAAACGTGGCGGAATGAGAGATGTCCCCAGATCTCTCCCCTTGAAACAACAATAAGCCGAACATCTAAAACTCAACAAAAAACACCCAAACTGCACACCAGCACGTCTGAGCATGGGATCTGCACATAAGAGCTACCACAGGAATGAGTGGAGCTTGGAATTCAAGAAGTCAACAGAACACCCAATTATCCCAACCCGAAAAGGCATTCACGAAGACACATTGTATTAAAATTATAAAAAATCAAGACAAAGAGAATTCTCAGGGCAGCCAGAGAGAAGAAGACGGTAACTTATAAAGGTAAATCCATTAGATTATCATCGGATTTCTCAACGCAAACCTTCCAAGCAAGAAAGGAATGGAATCAAATATTTAAACTTTTAAGCAAAAGGAACTACCAGCCTAGAATAATGTATTTAGTTAAGCTCTCCTTTAGATATGAAGGAGAAATTAAGGCCTTTCCAGATATACAAAAATTCAGGGAATTCTCCACTACGAGGCCTGCACTACAGGAAATACTGAAAGGGGTCAGCTCACCTAAAATAAAATGACAAAAAAAAAAAAATGTAACTATGAATAAGGCAAATAGCAGGCTGATAGAAACAGAGAACAGGGCATTATAAGCTTAAACAATAAGAAGAGATTTGCTATAGCAAGATAGTAATAAATGTTCAGCATATATAGGGACAATTTGAGACAGCAATGACTGAAAAAGAAGGATTCAAAAACCTAAATTCACAAAGGGGAATGGAGATAAGGTGCACGTGCAAAATGGAAGGGATGGCTGTATATATATATAACTATCTTTTACATATTCATAACGGTAACCACATGCCAAAGATTCAGAACCATTGTATATAACATAAAGCAAGAAGGACCAGAGGGAAAACCCACAAAAGCCAACCAAAATAAAGAAAACACAAGCACAAGGACAAGGAAGCAATGTGAACACCG